CACTGTAGCACTGCTCGGTACACCTGGGTGTACCGAGCGGTATACCGTACCGTACCGGTACCGAGCCCGGGTCGAAACGCCGGTATGGTACGGTACGGCGAACCTTGCTAATAAGTACTTTTGACATAGTATTTAATGTTTTGTGAATATGCATGTAATAACTTTGTGCATTGTTTCCAAGCATATGAATGATTACTATAATTAGTAAAGATTTGACAAATGAAGATCTCAACCTCTATAACAATACATTAAAAAGGTATATGCATTAATTATCATGTCCATGTCATGGCATGCCATACAATTATAAGATTTGTCTATGTCTAATCAAAAGTTACATCATGGTTGATTGCCTGAATAATGTTATAACATATTTACATTCAGCTATTTCTTATTTTCTTATTTCTATTATCACATAAATACTAGTTCTAGCAAATCCATCCACTAGTTGTAGGTTTCTTCTCTTTTTTCATTTTTTTTCCCATGGGCCAAAAGTTTGATCCAATTTTATTGCAAATCTACATAAATTTAAATTTCTGTAACACCATAGAGAGAAAATAACAGTTGATATATGTCGTCATTGGTTTGTTGATATAGATACACTCCCTCGATCTATTCACCCTTTGTTGATAAAGACACACTCCCAGAAAAACGTCCTCATTGTTTCTAATCATAATTTTGTGTTAAGTTTATTAGTCATTTGAAGATATTAACCTTCATGATAGGAACCAATTTTTATAATTCTGAGGCCTGGCTGTACTTGATTTAACACTACAAAAGACTGGAAATTCTAGATGAGAACACACCACTACAAACAATTCCATCTTGACGAATATCAATTTGAGCTTAGATCTAAATTAAGTATAATTAGATAGAGGTCAGGTGTAGAAGTTATAGGCTTAAGTTTACCCTTTTTATATTGAATTTATTTTATAGACACTTTCTAGGTTTAATTTGTTGCAAAAACCTTTTTATTTTCAATGTGTTATGTGATTATTTTTATTAAATTTTGGTCTAAATTGAGCTTATGTTAGTTTAAATTAACGTGGCCTTAGTTAGCCAATTTATTTTTTTATTCAGTAGTAATTTGGTTTAGACTTAAAGCTTTGTTATTAATGCCCAATTTTGGATAGTTTTAAATAGTTGTTAGTTGGGACGTTAAATGGCTGTATTCTGATTTGTTTTGTGTTCAGAGAAGGTATATAAGTTCTTTGTTTAGGTTTCATGAATGCAATGCTCACTACCCCATCCAACAACATCAGCAGTAATGATGCTCACTCTCTTTAAGACCAAGTTTTACACATGTACAAAAAGCTTAATACCTACTATTGAAATTATATTTTTATTACCAATGATAAAATTTAATACCATGAGAGACTAATTCTAACAATTTACAACTAACTAATACTGCACTTCAACAATGTACAGTTTTCTGTTTTCAAATCATAAAATAAATCTCAATTAGAAGACAATTACAAAACACAAAGTTTTACTAGGATTATCAAGTAATATAAAACACAATCAGCTTGTGATCATAATCATGAGATTAACCCCAACGAGCAACAACAAGAGGTTAAATAGAGCATTATCATTTGTACCTCACTATGGACTTAACAATATAACTAGATGGTTAAAGTTAGTCATGCTGCAGAGTAGCATTTCACCTTCAAAAGTTACAGAAATCTTAAGAGAATATACTTTGATTTGCAATGGTCAGTTTGAATTGAACAACATTGAGACTTTTGCTGTTACTTACAAGCAAAGGAGGCAGGTATGCAGCAGTTTTACCTAGTTGAAAACATAATAAACAAAAAATTATCCCTTCGATTTTTGAATTTTAAAATGGAAAAAACAAGAGATGAGGTGACTGGAAATTCCACATCGCAGACCACATACCACTGTCAGAACTTATATGAATCTGGGTACAGAGAAATCTAAATATAGGAAAATGAATCACGACGACTTAGATGCATACGTGCACCTTATGACTCCAAAATTACACGAAAGAACATAGAAAAACAAAGAACATAATCTAGAATCTAGATAACAAACTCGTGAGCAAAACATTAAAAGATAAATTCCTTTTAAGGAACCCAAGATAGGCTGGTACCACCAACAGAGCTTGATGGTTACACCGTATCAGATAAAGTAAGAGGAGCACTGGAACAAAAAATGCACTATACAACAGCGGATGATGAAACTAAAGAAACAAATGGGGAGGGCGACAAATACCTGAGAGTAATTTATTGGATCAGAACAGGACGAGAGGTATAACCCATGAAAAAGATTAGAACGGCATGGATCGAAAAAGAGAAGTAAACATTCTAACCGGCAACAATTGCCAATAGGAGAGGGAGCGGCATCTCAAAGATGTCGTGCCCTCTTCTCTTCTTCGAGTCCCTACGAGGAGGAGGAAGACGAGAAGAGGCTAAAAGGAGAGATTGCCACCCTCGCATCCTGGCTATTCTTAGACTCCTTTCTATTTAGCGATCTGGAAGCCCTCTCCGGATCGAGCGAGACTCGGAGGCTCCAAGCTGCCCCCTCGCCCCATGTGGAAGCCAAGCCCGACGAGAACGGGCAACTACATCGATTCAACGAAGTCTCTCTCTCTCTCTCTCATATAATATATATATATATATATATATATATATATATATATATATATATATATATATATATATATATAATAAATTTCTGAAAACACTCCTGATAAATTTTTGCCCCAAGTTCCATCAGACCGGCCTTATGTGCGAGAGGTATTGTTACCTCCGTGAACTTAGTCGAACTTTTTTACGTGTGAGGATCATGAGCAAAGATGATAAGAGCCATCATTGTCATGCCCCCTCGTTTCCTAGGTGAGACCAACGAGGGTCACCATCGTTGCACCCTTTTCCTCATCACATTAGAATGAGACGGGTTCGTGAAGACGACGATAGGTTTGGTAAGACAAAGAGGAGAGGAGGCAATGTAGGGTGGAGATGACAATGGGCTTGACGGAGATAGGGTAAATTGGTATTTTCACATAATAATGGGTGTTTCACAAGAATTTTTCAAAGATATATGCATATATTAAGAGTAAAAAAATTAAAGTACTTTTACATATGTATTCTTAACATATACTCATGTTACAATTCAGATTAGTCACGTCTACCTATAGCTACTAGCTAGTTAAAAAGAAAGTAGAAATATAATATACCTTAAATAGGCATAATGTTCTCATCATCAGAATAAGAAAAATTAATGGTGTTTTACATAAATATATTTGCAAAATTTTGAAAATATTGTATTTATCCTTACAAATGCTGATATGCAAATATATCCCTCTATGTATTAATATCCTTCGTACTGATACGTATGTCCCTCTTCTACTACATTAATATTGATAGATAATAATACATATGTATTAATATCTCCTTCTTGATATCAATACATATGTATTAATATCCTTCGTATTACTACAGATATATGCAAGTATATCTCTCTTCTACTAAAATTAGGTTAATCACTTTTAACTATCGCTAAAATTGACTAATAGTTGAAAAGAAATTATAGTATAAAAGTACCTTAATTATTAAGGTATCTCGCTGTCCTTTGGGTAATTTATTAAAAAAAAATTAATAATAAGATTTTATCGGAAAACGTCCCACGTTTGTTTGTTTTTATTAAGGGCGCTCATTTAATTCATAGTAGGAACAAATATTTACCCTTAATAAATTTGAAAAAAAATATTCAATATCCATTACTTTGGTTGACTTTGATTTTTTTTGACTTGAACTGATTTGATGGACTGAACCAGATCGATTCAATATAACTCTAAATATTTAATTATTTATTATTAGGGCCTAGTTTATGTGTTTTTTTCCCCTAAATCACTCTGCTACTCTCATTCTACCATACAATAGCACATTCTACTCTCATTCTTCTCGTGGTGGCTGACAATGTCACTGTCTCCATCCATCTAAAGTGGCAGCAAAGGAGCGTCGTCGAAGAGGAGAGGAAGGGGAGCTCGCTAATGACATCGGTGGTGGCATCGTTGTCGTCGACTTCCTCCCGAAGGTATCACCGAAGAGGAGAGGAAGGGGAGTAGTGGTGATCGTTGATAGATGAGTTACTGTCTTTCCTAAAAGAGTTAAAAGTTCATGACTATGAAATAATTATTTCTTTAATGAGTATGGAGAAATGACATTTTTTGTTGGGTTAATTTGGGTATTCGGTGGTGTATATTTACACAGTTTTGTTCAGTACATTAATCCAGTTATCCATATACCTGTCACATTTGGAGTAGTAGAGTCATGGGAATAGTTTCTTTGGTTCATCTTTTCAGAAGCATATCACAATTACTGTTTGGTTCATCTTTTCCAAAAATTTAGTAAATATATGTGATTGGGGGCTATCACGAGAGAACCTACTAAGTTGCAGCTTTTTTTC